TGCGGCGCGGCTCCGCCGGCGTCTCACCTGGCCCTGGGGAGAGGGGGTGGAGGACTGGAGCTGCCTCCTCCCCTGGTGCGGTGCGATCTGGACCTGGGCTCCAGGTCTGGACCTAGGCAGCTGCAGGGGGAACTTGACCCCTGTGCTTCCACCCCATGCAGGTAGGAGCCGGTTGCAGCCTGCGGTCGGATGCGGACACAGAGCAGCGAGCCCTGGGGAGGACGGGACGGAGGGGAGGAATTAATTAATTCACTGAGCATTACAAACCACATCACCAGCCCGTAGGTGCTTGCCAGCCAAAAGCATTATCGGGAGGAGCGGTGGTGTGAAACCCCATGCAGCCACAGCGAGGGAGGGGAGCCCTGGCCGAACTCCCCCTGCCCCACGCTGCCTTCCTCCCACGGGCCGGCTCCGTGCCACCGAGATACCACGGTGAGTCTGCAGCAGAGCATTCACATCCACCACCCCTTGGCAGAAGCTTACACGCAGGTGAGCCGTAGGGTGTAGCGTCCTGCCATCGGCCGGCCGGGCGTGATTAGAAACCCCAGAGTTTTAAACTTGGGTTGATGCACGCTGAAAGCTGGCAAACAACCGTTAGCCAGAGAGTGAGTTTCTTAAAGCTCTTAAAATTGCCTCCTTCGTTATACAAGCCTCTAAAGCTCATTGACTGATGCTTTCTTTGCCCTTGTGTAACTGAGTAACTGCTTCTGTTTAACAGCTGCTTCCCTTTGGCAAGTGATTTGTCAGGTCTAAAATAACTTATTTTTTTTAAGGAAAAAAAAACTTTAAAGATTTTTTTGATGACCGTACGAGCCATGTTCTCTCTGCGGGTGCATGGCACACGTTATCAGAGGAATGGGGCTCAATTATGTATTTTAAGTGCATATGAACTTGTAAATAGGATGTCTTAATTTTTCCCAACCGCTATTTTTTGGACACCTCCATTGTAAGCAACCAAAAGGCAGGAGATTAAAAGCTAGGTCATGTTTATGTATTACTTCCCCATCCTTTTGTTACCTTTAAGTTGTTTGTCACTGGAGTTGTCTCAGCAGCGTCGGATAGCCTAGTTGTCTCCCTCATACAGTGAGTTAGGAGTTAGCCAGGTGGTTGATACCAAAATGTGGTGAAGAAAGCTCACCCTGGCAGTGTCACTTGGGGAGAAGCGCAGACGGGGGTTTCGTGCTGCAAACATCGATTGCAGGATATGGGGTGACTCTTCAGGAGAACAAAAATGATAAAGTCTGCTCCCGTATTTAAGTTGCAAACACCAAAAGACTCGGGACAGGCTGGCTTATGCCTCCCATCTGGGTCTCAGATGGGGTTGGGGGAGGAAGTTAATTGGAGGAAGTTAATAACTTCTGCTCAAATTGCAAATCGCCCCCAAAAATCATCCGCCCCGAGCGGGAAGCTCGCCACCAGACGGCTTTACCTCCGGGATGCTTAGCCCGGACCGAACACTCCTCCCCACCGGGTTTGTGGCTCCCTTCAAGCGGCTGCGTGACCCCCCCGTCCCCCCGGCAGGCGCTGGGCGCTGACAGCCGGCGGCACTGTGCCTTCCGCAGCCGGGCACCGGGCGAGACCGAGCTGCCGTGCCACGCCTGGG